GGCTGGGGGAAGGTGGGATCTGCTCAGGAGCGTTTTGGGGATGGAATAAAAGTCGTGGGACTTTCAAATGGCCCAGGGGGGAGTGTATGAGGTTAGGGAATCAATTCTAGCAGCTCTGCAAGCGAAACAGTGAAATTGGAGCCATGAGCCAAGCGAAGGGAAGGTCAGAAAAAGTGTGTTGCTTTTCTAGCAAAATGCTGTTTCCACAAGCAGTGATATTTTAGCCATTTGAAAGCTCCGAGTGGAAGTTGCCATTTTGAGTGCAGCCCAAAGGCTGTGCAATCTGTCAGGCACCAGGGGAGAGTGGAAGAGGCAACACTTTGTCCTCTGAGCTGTCAGAAAGCCYGGGTTCTGTATAAACAGGCATCTGGTGATGGGAGCTGTGCAGGCGAGCGGGGATGGAGGAGATTGCACCGAGCCACGGGCAGCAGTGCAGGCACAAAAGGGAAATGCTGCTGGGGAGAGGGGGCAGCGAGGARATCTGTGCCCAGGGGGGCTCCAGGGGACACCACGGAGAAAATGAGGGGTCTGGAGCATCCCCCTCGTGGAGAGAGACTGCTCAGGGCCGGGTTAGTCCAGGGAAAATGGAGARGGGATCCCACCAACCCACACAGAAYRTYCAAGGGCTGTCACAGGATRGCTCCAGACCYTTTCCAGTGGTGCCCAGTGCAGGATGAGGAGCCGTGGCCAGAAACTAAAACAGGTTTGGCCTCAACACGAGGAAGAGCTGCTTTCCACAGAGGGGCAGAGCCCTGGAGSAGCTGCCCAGAGAATYGTGGAGTTTCCCTGTCCAGARCCATCCCAAACCCACMTGGACACGYTCCTGTGCCCCCTGCTCCAGGGTTGGATGGGTGAACTGCAGAGATCCCTCCAACCCACACTGTTCCGTGATTATTTGGGGAACAAACTCCCAGGCTGGCAGTCTGAGGGGGGGAGAGAGAGCACAACCAGCAAAGAATGGAGAGGAGGATTTCGAGCTAATCTTGGCTGTGAAACGTGTCTTTGCTTGCTGCGTTCGCAGAGCTGATCGGCGAGGAGCTGGAGGAAGAGAACAAGGAGCATACGTGCGAGACGCTGCTGATGTGCATTGTTACTGTACTGAGTCACGGGCTCCGCAGCGGGGGTGGAGTAGGTGATGTGCTCAGGAAACCTTCCAAAGAGGTAAATTACTGCTGCCTGGGGGCGGGGGAGCGATCCCAATCCCGATCCCAATCCCGATCCCATCCCGTGTGTGTGGGGCTGGGGACAGCGGGGAGGAGCGCACTCACATCGGGGATCCCACTGAATGCTTCCTACACCTTCTGCTCTGCTGCTTTAGGGTTTCTGCAGCTTTGGGGTGTCCAGAGCAGGGCTGGGGGGCATCAGKCTGTGCTGGGATTGAGCAGTGAAGGAAGGAGATGGGTACAGATGGCAAGAGAGGTGGCACAGGAGGATGCTGCGGTGCCTGGGGGTGCCACAAATCTGTGTGGGACATCCCTGGGGAAAGGTGGGGTGTCAGATGGGCTGGATGAGAGCAGGGGAGCAGGCTGGGCTGCTGCAGTGTGGGGGAGGAAGGATGGATGGGCTGGGAGCTGTGAGGACCAGCCTCAGCTGTAGGAATTTTCCACAGCACCCAAAGCTCTCCCGGAGCTGCTGTTGAASGTGTTTGTGTCCATCATTTAGGAAGAAACTCTCCCCTGRGACWGTGGAAATGTCCCTGCCATGGCAGGGGTGGCACTGGACAAACTTTAAGGTCCCTTCCAACCCAAACCAYTCCATAATTCCATGCTGATTCTGTGCTCTGAAGCTCAGGCTCTCAAAGCCACCTTGGGAGCCAGTGCTTTTTTGTTTTACCTGAAATTTCAAAGTTTTTCCTAAAACTTCGCTTCATTTTCAGCTTACAAAGGTCATAATTCTTAACAATCAGTTTGGCACTTGACTGACAGGATGATTGTGAAAATGGGGGTTGGGCATTCAGGCCTGCAATAAATATGGAATCTGTATGGAAAAGTCCAGCTTAGTGTTCATATATAGGGTTGTTAAATGAAATTAATGGTATTAAATTCCAGTAAAAGAATTTATGGTCCACACTGATCCTCTGTTGATATACAGCAGATTAATATAAGGATATAATTTTCAGGGAGGGGTGAGAACCAATTTCACTGTGTGAGGGAAGAGATTTTTTTCTTGTGAAAGCAAGAGAAGTCCAAAATCTTGGACACAGGAACAGCATCTCTGCAGAGACCTCACACTGACAGATGACTAATTTGGCTTTTCTTTCAGGGATTTTGCATTTTAGTTTTGCATTTTAGCTCCAATTAATGTTTTGAGTTGTGAGTTACCCTTGGAGAGCACTGACAGTGGGGACTCTCAGGGAAAGGGCCGTGGGCAGGGTGGTAATGAGGGTGAGATGTGCCCCTGTTTGGGCTGTTAATAATTCACATTATAATTCACATTATAATTCACATTATAATCCACATGTCTACCTTGCAGGAGCCTCTTTTTGCTGCTAGAGTGATCTATGATCTGTTGTTCTTCTTCATGGTCATCATCATTGTCCTGAACCTGATCTTTGGGGTGATCATCGACACTTTTGCTGATTTAAGGAGTGAAAAACAGAAGAAAGAAGAAATTTTAAAAACCACTTGCTTTATYTGTGGTAAGTGTGGAGGCACACTTAACGAGAAGGGGTTATTCTGTGCGAGCCAGGGATGGCTGCAAACTCTCAGGAAAGAARTTTTGAATTAGTGGCTGTTTCTAATGGCATTGCTCAGCCAGGTCATGTTCTTGGGTACCACGTGCACTGGAGTTTGGCAGCAGCAGGGGAGGGGAATGCTCAGGACACCATTCTTCCTCAAAGCTTCAATTCTTSTTTCTCCTCTGCCTCACAGAACAGTTTCCTGTTGGAATAGAAGGATTTTTATAAGCTGTCACTTTTTCCAGGCACACAGAGCAGTGCTGTGAAGGTTTTGCCATCAGGTTGGGAGTGGAGGTGCTGGGGTTGACTGGCATGGTCCTGCCATGGAGCMCAACACCCAGCCTGAGTGGATAACCTTTGGAAGTTTGCTGCAAAGCAAACGGTGCTTTTGCTATCAGTTTGCCTAAAAATAGGAGATGTGTTATGAAATCCAGCAAACTGCTTGCTGCAGGGTTGCTGCCTTTTTTTGAGCAAAATTTTTCTGTTTCGTATAATAAATATAAGCAGTATTTTTTTCTCCTTTCTTCTTCCTCCTCTTCTTTCTTCTTCATTCTCTTCTTTCTTCTTCCTCCTCCCTCCTCTTCTTTCTTCTTCCTCCTCTTCTTTCTTCCTCTTCTTCATTCTCTTCTTCATTCTCTTCTTCATTCTCTTCTTCATTCTCTTCTTCATTCTCTTCTTCATTCTCTTCTTCATTCTCTTCTCTTCTCTTCTCTTCTCTTCTCTTCTCTTCTCTTCTCTTCTCTTCTCTTCTCTTCTCTTCTCTTCTCTTCTCTTCTCTTCTCTTCTC